TTATTTGTCCTTATCAAGTGTAATTTTCAATTACATGGATGATTTAAAACAATTTTGTAATAATTAGGTAAATGCAAAAACAATAAAATAAAATTATACGTCTTGCTTTAAAATAGTGCGTATGTAAGTAAACACGTAAATAATTTGATAATTGTTTATTTCAAAAATTCTTAATAAATATAAATATTTTTTTAATGTATATGGCATGTTTTATGTTTATTGCGTTTGCTAAATAATTTTTTGTAAGAATAGTTATATTTTCACCACATTTTAATTATATTGAAGATCATTAACATTTATTCATTATTACACTTATATTCTTAATCACATTCTTATTTTTAACTTTTCATTAATCAGAAAAGTCTGTCTTTAATCATAATTTTCGTCCAAAATGTTGTTAACATTTTTTAAAATGAGTGTAAAATATTTAATTATATTTTTGCATTATTATTTGTTTTGCTGATTTAAAAATACGATGGACAAATGAGTCTTTTTACTATATCTTAAAGAAAATTTTGAAATGAAACCATAATTATGAACGATTTATATTAATTTGAGAATAAGAATGCAATGAAAAAAAGCTTGACACATAAATGTAATTGTGTAAAGGTTATGAACATTTCAAACAATTAAAATGTAGTTCAATTATTAAAAATTATGGTGCGAATATATTTAGCCGTTTTGTAAACATAGATATCTGGACCTTGCTACAGCGGTATGCTTAACAACCGACTCAGTGATAGAGGGGATATGTGTCAATACAACGCCCAATCCCGCCTTGTCGTCACACCGTGTCACTCTCTCCCTGTTAGCAACCCCAGTCCAAGGAGCATAATGGTAGATATTTAGCTAAAAAGTCAAACAAGGATAAAGATATCTATGGATTCCATGTCAAACTTCAATAATTGATTTTTATATTTTTGCTATAGTTGTCCTTAATGTTTTAAAATTTGTATTCGCATCCTCATTTTAACACATTCTTGCGCAAAAGGTACATTCTGTCCATTTGATCCATTAATTAGGCGCATGCCTCACACTTCACATAACTAACGATAGCAATGATTATTGTAAAGAGTACAAACGACAACGACGTTTTGCATTAATTACCCATTAAAGTAAGTACCCAAAATGAATCTTAACAAAAGAAAGTGATGTGATTGAGCGATTAGATACAACAACAAAAAAATATTGCAATAGTATACTTTTGAAAAATGTTAAATTAGGGGTGTAAGCGGTCTGATTTTATCGATTTTTGACAAATTTTCAAACAAACTGTTTCAACCGGTTTGAGAAAAACTCAAACCTAAACTAAACCGTTTTGACCGATTTGAAAAAAACTCAAACATAAATCTAACGGTTTGATCCGGTTTGAAACCGCTGGTTTCGCGTATATTTTTTTGCCTATCTAGTATCTAATTTTTTGCCATTAATTTAATATATATTTATATTTTACTGGTAATAAATCTAAAATAAATTAAATATATCTACTATAAATTTAAATACCAACAAAATAAAAGTAAAATCAAAATAAACTAAAATCGCAATCATATAATTCCAGACACAACTTAGACGGTTTCCATGTTCAAAAATCAAGAACACGCAGCTATATAACTAAAATCACAGAATTTCGAAAATAGAAATAATCCACAGGTCACAAAAAATCACAAATTTGAGGATTTCCAAGAATCGAGATGACAAACCATGCAATTATGTAACTAAAATTACAAAAAAAATAAATCACAGAACTAACCCACAGGTCATAAAAAATCACGCAGTCTTGCAACGAAACTGAAGGCTATCAGTTGTGACTGACCTTAGACTACCGGCGACTGTTGCTGGCAACTGAAAATTCTGACCGTAGACTATCGATGATTTGAAGAAAATTCGGGAGCGAGAGAGGGAAATGGAAGGTTAAGGATTAAGGTTGTGTTTGTGAGAGTTTGAGTTTGAGTCTTTTTTTAAAAAAAATTAGGATAGCAGGTCGGGTCGGGTCGGGATTTGGGCGGGTCGTAAATCGTAATAACTAATAGGAAATTAGAAATTGACAAAAATATCAACAAAATGACAAAATTATTGAATTTACAAAATTGGAATTTTGGATAAATTTTCAAAAAAAATTCAATTTTTTTATTTTTTATTTTATATATTTTTTCGTCGGTCCGGTTTGGTTTTAAACAGTAATTAAAATTTTCAAACCTAAACCAAACCCTTTTTGGTTCAGGCACCAAACCGCCGGTTTCGAAATTGCGGTTTCGGTTCGATTTTCCAGTTTGATAGTTTTTGCTTACAGCCCTATGAAAAATGCTAAATGTAGTGTACACGCCCTCACAAGAAGGGGGCCCACGGTGATTAAAATAACTATGGGCCCCCTCACACGAGAGTGAAAACTCTCGTGTACGTGCAGCAAAGCTCTAATACTTTTTCATTTTACTGATAAAATCTAGCAACGTTTGGCTCCCATTAATTGATATTATAATTTTTGGAATAATATATTTTTTCAAGAATATGTGGTTCAAAAATAAAGATTTTTTTTTTGTCTATGTATAATATTATTTTATTGAAAAATGTGTATTTAAAACGAAAAGAGAGAAAAATATATTATAAATTTAATGCGGCCAATCCGTCTTAGCAAATCTTGAAAAAGTTGCCTAACTTTATTCTTATATAATCAAGATCTTTAGGTTTTTTCGTCGAGCTATAATAAATGAGAATAAGTTAATTTAATTTGATTGTAGATTTACAGTCGCACTTAAACTAATAAAATAATAAGATTTTTTTCCCACTTACTTCGCTAAAGTCGCATTACTGACGAGGCGTCGCAATTGGTAAGCTCAAAGGACTAGCAACTGTGACGAATAGGCAACGTATATAGGATTACGGTTGTGCTACGTGTATATGACGATTTATATAATGATTTACATACACACGATATAATAAAAAATGGTTGGGTTGAATTTTTTCAACCAAAAAAAAAAAAAAAATTATTCACTCTCATTTTGACACATCATCTGCATGTAAGTCATTATGTAATTTCATTATATACAAGTAACATTACTCAAAAGATTAATCTTGCTGTACAACTAGTTGTGAGTTGTAAAGATCTGTGACGTTGATTTAAAAAAAACAGTTTTAAAAATGGATGAATGTAATACCTAGCAAGTGTGAAGTTATAAAAAAAAAAAAGTTGTACAAATAGCATGATCCAAGTATATGTNAAAATATATTATAAATTTAATGGGGCCAAACCGTCTTAGCAAATCTTGAAAAAGTTGCCTAACTTTATTCTTATATAATCAAGATCTTTAGGTTTTTTCGTGGAGCTATAATAAATGAGAATAAGTTAATTTAATTTGATTGTAGATTTACAGTAGCACTTAAACTAATAAAATAATAAGATTTTTTTCCCACTTACTTCGCTAAAGTCGCATTACTGACGACGCGTCGCAATTGGTAAGCTCAAAGGACTAGCTACTGTGACGAATAGGCAAATTATATAGGATTACGATTGTGCTACGTGTATGTAACGATTTATATAATGATTTACATACACACGATATAATAAAAAATGATTGGGTTGAATTTTTTCAACCAAAAAAAATAAAAAATTATTCACTCTCATTTTGACACATCATCTGCATGTAAGTCATTATGTAATTTCATTATATACAAGTAACATTACTCAAAAGATTAATCTTGCTGTACTACTAGTTGTGAGTTGTAAAGATCTGTGACGTTGATTTAAAAAAAACAGTTTTAAAAATGGATGAATGTAATACCTAGCAAGTGTGAAGTTATAAAAAAAAAAAAGTTGTACAAATAGCATGATCCAAGTATATGTCAAACAATTAAACTATTTGTACAGTAAAATTATGTTTGGAGGCAATTAATTGACAGATTTTAATTGAAATCTCAACCATTGCACACACCTACAGTCGCAACATTTGACCACATGTGAGAGGTGTGGGGGCCAGCAATTAAAAAAAAGGGTAAAAAAAGTGCTACTAATTTGGATAAAATCAATGTCAGACACACCCTAAGTTTGACAGCCTTTTTGACAGATATACGACATGGCAAGATTGTAATAGTTTGAGTAAATATGTGAAGTGCGAATGATTGTGTGAGATTGTGTCAATTGTAAATTCTGCAAGTCGGAATATAAATCAAGATTGTGTTAGTTTCTAGATTGTTTTTTTATTTTATTTTATTATTATTTTTTTGGGATCGTGAAAGGGTATTCAATTATTATTCTTATTAAAATGGTATTTTTAGGCACTCATCTTTGAATATTTCACTTCCGGTAGTCAACCACTCAAATATGAATTAATAAATCATATCCACACCCCAAAACTTTAAAAAATATACGTCCCGGTTTATCCTAAAATATATCGATAATTCATTACACAGTCAACTCCTAATAAAATAATTAAAAAAAAATGTTCATTTTTTTTATTAAATTATCGGATTGTCTTCACAAAAACTTATTTCATTTCAACTTTTTAATAAAATTTGAACAATTTTATTCACCGTCCCTGACATTATTGATTAAGTGAGAGACGTTTCTAACATTCGTTGTTCCACTGGCGTGACCAAACACATCTATATTTGTTATTCGTTTGACCTTAACTTAGTCGTCACGACACTTGACCTAAAACAGCCAAACCACTCGAAATAGGAACCAGGGAACGTAGTCTTGCGAACGAGTTTGAATTGTATGCCGGAGGATAATCAATTCGGTCTTTCTTCAAGATTAATGACTCGAGTTTTTATTGGTCAATAAAAGGAAAACTAGTGCAATTTCTTTAATAAACCATAAATAACACATGAGAGACTACACACGTGTGATCTCAGAAAGAAACAAGAAACTGCATCAGTCTTCCCTAACTTGTGAGAAATGGGGAATCCAAATCGATGGGCGTTGGCTATAAATATTATAATTCAATTCCCTTCTCTTCATTTCTTCCCACCACCACTTGTTCCACCTAATTCACTTTCCCGTAATCATGAATCTGTCCTCTTTTTTAAGCTGTTTCAGCAGCCAACAACGAGGAGGAGGAGGAGGAGGAGGAGAAGAAGAAGCAGGTATGTTGAGAAATCAAATCCTTGATTCAGTTTTGAGTTTGCTTAGAATGTGAATAATTGAGTAACTTTTGCTGAATCCAAGGTCAACGAGGGGGTGAAACTGTTACGACTTCAAAATTTCCAGTATTCTCTTACAATCAAATCAAAACTGCCACTCAGGGATTCAGACAGAAGATTGGAGAGGGGGGATTTGGTTCTGTTTACAAGGTAATAATAAATATAGATATATGAATCAAAAGTTGACTTCCAATGTCTAAAAATTATGTTTTGATCTGGTGAAATTACAGGGACGACTTCAAAATGGGAATTTTGTGGCAGTCAAAGTTCTATCTGTTGAACTTGAATCAATGAGAGGAGAGAGGGAATTCATATCTGAGATTGCAGCATTATCTGATATAAAGCATGAAAATCTTGTTATCCTCCGAGGATGTTGTATAGATGGAGCTAAAAGACTTTTGGTCTATGATTTCATGGAAAACAATAGCCTTTTCCACGCCTTTCTTGGTAATTTTTCTTCAATCTTCTGCACCAACTTGAAAGTGAAACCTCAAACATAAGTTCACGTGATGTTTATCCAAGATTTCAACTTTTTCATTAATGGATGTCGTTGGGATTTGAGATCGGACTTTAGTTTATTCTGATTCCATGGTGGTTTCTTGATGAACAGGCGGGGAACATAACAGGATGAAATTTAATTGGACATTGAGAAGAAACATATCTTTAGGAATTGCGAAAGGACTTTCGTACCTGCACGAAGAAATCAATCCTCACATTATACATCGGGATATCAAAGCGAGCAATATACTTCTGGACGAGAATTTTACACCAAAACTCTCAGATTTCGGTCTGGCTAGGCTGTTCAGAGAAAACATGTCACATATTAGTACTCGTGTGGCCGGAACTTTGTAAGTGTATCGATTTTATGTGAAGTCGGGTTTTGTTTGTTACCGAATGTTGTTGCTAATCGTGTTTTTCGTGCCGTTATAAATGCCATAGGGGCTATCTTTCTCCAGAATATGCAACCAGCGGACACTTGACAAGAAAATCAGATGTCTACAGCTTTGGAGTATTGTTACTGGAAATTGTCAGTGGTCGTCCTGTCGTTGATTACCATTTACAATATGGAGATCAGTTCTTAGTAGAAAAGGTAACAATTCCGAGCAACTTGATTCCTTAGATGTTCTCATTTAACATTAATTAACCTGTGCAGGCATGGGAATTTTACATTTCTAATACCCTGTTGGAGCTAGTGGATCCTGTTCTGAGCGGAGATTTTCCAGAAGAGGAAGCTATCCGATTCTTGAAAGTTGGGCTGCTATGTGTGCAAGAGACGACAAAACTCCGGCCTAGAATGTCCATGGCCGTTAAGATGTTGACAAATGAGATGAAGACCGAAGACATTGAGATATCACGGCCTGGACTAGTTGCTGATCTGATGGATCTTAAAATACGACAGAATCAATCGTCGCATTTTTCTTCTTCTCAGGCATCCAGTAGTACGGGAAGTTTCCAAGCACGATGACTAGAGGTAACAAGAATTCAAAAATTTTTACAAATATGAGACATTTTTGAATATTCTTCTAGTCAGAGTTTTTATTGATGTAACTACTGCAGAGCTAGGAGTACATATTGCTTTCAACTGTAGTCACTGAATATTGCATTATTCATTCATTGTATTTGTATAAAGAGAGTGAACATTAATCGTGGATTGATCATGGTTTTTTTTGTTAATCGTCATGTATCGATAAAATTTTGTTCAGCATCACACATATGAATTGTTCGTGTTTATTCTGTGTGCATAGGTACGATGAATTTGTCTTAACCGTGACGGCATGTTCGATATACAATACTGGACATGAATCCCAGTATAATGGACAAAATAAGTCAATAACTGAGCTAATAACACAAATGAAACAAAAACGGTGCAACCGTACTCAAATGCGTATGGTAGCTCCTGGCAATTCCGACCACTATCGGATCGAAATTGCAAATGGCGTGCAAGGAGCCAGGCATATGTACAGTTATTTATTTCATGCATATATTAAAAGATACAAACTGTGCTAGCAGGGCTGGAATTTGGGAAACCAGATGTTATTTAAAATAGGGATCTATTTAATTTAAAAACTGAGAAGACCATAGAACTGCAATTTTAATAAGAATGAGAGGGTAGTTACCTGCAGCCATACTTTAAAAGGATTATTCAACATTCAATTACAGAAACTTGTTTAATAGTTAAGGAAATCCACCATCAGGATTGGACAATTCAGATTATTTTCTTGAAAAAAAGAATAAATTTTTTGGGAAACCTGATATCAATCTCATGACACAGGCTTTCGGCATGTAATGATAGCGAATTTTATAAGTCCCTTCTTGTATCCTTCGATCATCAATGGCATGGCCAGCGCTCCTTTTATTGTCTTCCATCCTAAAATTAAAGCGACAAGTACAACATAAATTGCCAAAAAAGAAAATGAAACTAAATGGTTAACAGGAGATGATAGAAATCCAATATTCATTTAATGGGATCGTGAAGGACATAGGATTACCACTTCTTAACAACGAGGTGATTCCCTTCCATGTCAATGCTGACTTTATCACTGCTGGCCAAAACGGGGCAACATTCTCAGACCAGTCTGCAGCTTTAATATCCTGGCACAACAGTTTTGGGAAGTATTTCAGATTATGCTTATAAACTCAAATAATCGAAAATAAGCAATCACTTGATTTTTCTGATTCAAATTTGGATAAGCAGCAACTGTTCAACGCATGTACATTGGTTTTCCAAGTACATATTGTGGAAGCCATTGCCTTAATAGTTGTCTCGATATAAATAATTCAAGAATGAATTAGATAATTACCTGAAGAGAGAGGGATTCAAGTAATTTTACATAATCAGTAGTAGAACACCATGCCGGCAGGTAAAAAGCGTTACATATCTTGTTTAACAGCTCTTTTTCCTCTGGACGCAATGATTCTTCAGAAGGGGAGAGATCCCTATGGCACCATGTAACTATAATTATCGTCCCACCAGGAGCTGCCACTCGAGCCAGTTCATTGACAAACTACCAGTTTGAAAAGGCAAGGAGGTAAAATCACAATTAGATCACTCACGAGTTAAAAATTTTTTTATACAAGTACAGATAGACTAGGAAGAATAGAACCTTTGTTTTGTCTGGCATGTGTTCTCCACTCTCCATGGACCAAACCAAATCAAATTGCCCATCCTGAAATGGTTGATCCAAAGCATCGGCTACTTGGAATGAAACCTGTTTTATCTCACCCTAGTTAGTTAAGACAGTCGTGCTCAGAGTTGAGCAGTAAGCCAAAAACCCTGAGACTCAAAACAGAAATCAAAACTGGATTTATCGAACTGAGAACTGGCCAGTTTGGAGTTCTAGGGGAGTGGTTTTTTTAAATTTTTCGCCTTTTAAATCAATGTAAGTTTTTTCGATGAGCAAGCACAACAATAATGCAGTCACATGAACCTAATGCAATGCATTTTGCAAACCTCAAATACCAAAATCACCGAGAGAGTCAAAATTCAGTTTATGTACCAGATTCGTCCAGTTCTCGGCTAAATTTATGTCTACTAAATCATATAATAACACACATAAAAGTCTTCTCCATGAATATGCTTACTCTGGATTTCTCAATGAATATTATGGTATATAAACAGGTGCAGAAGAACAGTAGCTCTGACCAGGAATTTTATCAACAATGTCACAGAAAATCTCGAAAATCCCAGAAGTGGCATCACTATTTCATCAAATAATCTCTCATTTTATATATGGATGAGTATAGCTACAAAGAGTAAATTCACACATTAAATCACAACTGAGATGTAAATTTGTAGCTACCATATCCCCTGAAAATGGATTAATGAATATTTCAGTTCGATCTAAACACGTATTGCATTTTGAGACAAAAAAGGTATTCTATCTTAGAAAATGCAAATTTAGAATGCTCTAGATACCTTGTCGCCCAATCCTTGTGCAGCAGCAAGAGCTTGAGCCCTCTGCGCTTGCACGGGGCTTAGAGTGATTCCTTGACATCTCGCCCCATATTTCCTCGCCAGGTACCTTGAACTACCTCCTATACCACAACCCACATCGACAATTTGTCTCGGTGGATCATCTGCAAATAATTTCATCCAAAAAATATTGAAAGAAAAGGTTAGCCAAGTAACTAGTATGCATCGAGGAAGTAGTGAAGGTGAAATCAAAGGAGATAGCAGTGGGAGGTGAATGCAAGCTTCCACTCAGAAGCCCATGGGGAAGAGTTTACATGAGAAAAAAAATGACAATAAACAATAAAGTTTGCAGAAATTAATTCATTAAACATCTTTTTCTTCAGTTGTTACATTGAAATACCAAAGAAATCTAACCATTATCTTCTAAAGTTAGCTTTTCTAGCTCCAGAACAGAGCACTATCTACATATAACTTCCTTGACTGATTCTCAACTATAAAAAATCTAATAAAATTAAATGTTTAAGGGCATAACAAACAAGTAACCACAACACGAACCAGAAATGGAAGCAAAGCGAAGTGCCTCCTCTATCATGCGGATTTGTGCGGAGCGGTGGTCGGAGAGTGAAACGGAAGAGTCCGGTTCGTAGAATCCATGATGCATATGGTCCCCCCATACATTCTCCCATATTCCCGACGATTCATCGTAAAACTCCGCTATCCCCTTCTGCAAAGTCTCATTCGCCGCGGCATTTACAGCAGTCCGCATCCTTCTACCACCACCACTTACGGCAGTAAAATTAATATATCTTCTCTTCCCTATCCCACTTACGGCACTTATGTGACCTCTGCCGATTATAGTATGGAGGCTAGGGCCCCACTGCAGCGTACTGCCAGATTTGCACGTGCTGCAGACTCCAATATAAAAAAGGTTGAACCTCAATCTTGAGGGCCCCCATCGACCCTGTCCTGGGCCATTGTGGAGGAGGTAAATCGCAGGATGTGCCTCCCAGGAGCCAGAGTGGAGAGTTTATGGATTTGCACGTGCTGCAGACTCCAATATAAAGATAAAGATTAACTGGGTATGAATAATTGTGTCGTGTTCGCCACAAAAAAAAAAAACATTATCACATGAGATTTTAATTTTTTAAAATTAAAAATAAATAAAAAACTAAATTTAGAACTTGAAAGGGAAGTGAAGAGTCGTGCTATTGGGGAAGTACAGGTGACAAGATCTTAGAACCTGTTTGGTAGGATGGTAAAAAAAAAAGAAAAAAGTACTGATGTGATGGAAAATATTATTTTATTGAAGAATGTGTGGTTGAAAATGAGAATTGATTTGAGAATTGATTTGAGAATCAGAAACAAACAGGGCCTTAGATTCAACTTAAATAAGACAAAAATTTCCCATAAGTTGTTTGGAGTAGGGCCATGTTCAAAAACAAAAATGCACATTGATCTAGTTAGTACAATTTTCGGACCAATTCGACTTGTAAAAACTACTCATCCAAACCAAATTGATACGTGCCCATAAATCCAATCAATCGATTCAATAAAAATTGTTACTGGTTCAATATTCTTGCTAGAGTAAGGGAAGACGATATAAAAATTAGGATAATATCAAGTCATCATGCCCCTTATATCATAGACAACACGTGCTACAATGATCAAGACAAAGGGTCCCGATCCCTCGAAAGTGAACTAACCCCAAAAATCCTTAATTCAAATTGCAAGCTACAACTCATCTAGATGAAACAAAAATCACTAGTAACAATCGAGAGGGTAATTCTAGCTGAACAAAATATAGATGAAAACCAAAATTAAAATTTTAGCAATATTGTACTTCGATTGCCAACGGATTACAGCCTGAAATGACACATTTTAGAATGTTATGATGAAGCACCCAAACACTTCGATTGATGAAGGAAATTAAAATTATAAAACAAGTTCATTCTTAAAGTCCAAAAGCCACTCTCTGCAAATAATCTGGGCGTCTTTTGCTGGGCATCCGAATTAGCCCTGTAATCTGCAGCTCTGTAACTGCCCTGCAAAACTCTGCTCTGCACAATATAGAGTCAAGGAGTTCCACAAAAAATTAGCGTGAATTCTATGAATGATAGACAAATCATGTGCATACCGAAACGAATATCAAAAGGATACTGGATCGATGCATCACTTCTGTTTCGAGGTTCCTTGGATCCTTTCCGTTTCTTAGGTGATGGTGACATCCTCAGCCTCTGTTTGGCTTTCAAACCAGGATGAGAAATGATTGATTTGAAAGACTGAAACCAGTCGTGAAGATTGATGAGATCACCATGTTCTTGAGTAAGGGTATACCTATGACACAAAATGAAGATAACTTCAATGCTCGTGTTGCCATAGAGATCGATGGGGACGTGTTGATTCCTCTCTTATAAGTTTAAACTTTTGGATGAGCTGGTTTAGCAGGTAGAATTCATGGTCATTGAAAATTATGTTACAAATAAGCACTCTAAGAAAAAGGTAACTGGGACCATATAATTCTCAGAGAAGCTGCAAAACAGTCAGTTATGTTGGAATATAGTTTTTTTCTTTTTGTAGATCAACTGATAAAATCCTTAAGATAATGTGTAAGGATTTAAAATTGATCAACATTTTCATTTTGTCAAGAGTCAGATTATAGGCAGATCCTATCGTGATATTCTCATAAGAAATGATAAAGGTTGGAGGAATGCGATGGATGGTATTACTCACAGTATGGACGTATCGTGCATGGATGGTGATGGCATACTGCCATTCTTGCTGCAGCAAGAACACTTGAGGAATTTGTGAGACTCCAAAAGGTCGGCTTGAATTCTTCTTCTAGGATCTCCAATCAAAGCCTAACATAATGAAAGTAAAATAGTAAGAAATGTAAAAAATATCAGTGTATTATTCCAAAATTTTACACAGTAAGTTCTTAACAGAAATTGATTTTGACCTTTTAACTTGAGTTGTCTTCCCATAGATTTTACTCAACTTTAACTTGACTCCTTTCATTTATTGATGATCAGAATTGCATAAAATATTCAACTGTAAACATTTCTTTTTTAAAATTCTCTCCCTTTCTTTCTATTCTTATGGAGCCCAATGTCTAATGTAATATTTCAAGGAACTTGAAAACGAGAATTACAAACACTTAACTGTTCGAAGTTTGTCAACATTATCGAAGAAGACAATTTCATTGAAGGGTATACTTTCAATGGGCCGCATATATTGCCTGATCCATAAGAAAGGGATCGCATGTTAGAAGATGTTTCAATAAGAACACAAACAGCGACATGTAGATCTCAAATATGATATCACTGGCATGTTATAGATATCAATAGAACAAAAATTTTAGGCTCTTGATTTTAAGTATCGAGCTACATTATAAATGTATAATCTTAGGTTTCAGATTTCAAAACCTAATTTTTGCTTTTACCTTACACGAGCCAGTCAAATTGTGGTTTTCTGTGAGTCATGCTAAGCTGCAAGGGATATCAGCCAAATACACCATATAACAAGCCTCGATAGAAACTTTAGCCTCAAAATAATGTTACAAAAGACTAAATCATTGTTTACAGCAGAATTTGCGATAATCACCCTATAGCATGTTTATTTGTTGTTACCTAAATACGGCAGCACATGTTATAGATCCATGAAGAGTACCCCAAGTAATATAATTGAAAAAATAAAGCTTCATAAAATCTCTTTACTCTTTTACCATTTAAACTCAAATATGATTGGAATCGTTAGGGAAGCATCTATCAGAAAATCAGAATATTATGCTATTATGAACTGATAGCACGCCAATCAATTGGTGCCCAATTTTTTTTATCTTATTCTTGAAAACAAGGTAAAAAAAAAAAACTTCTTAATAAGCTTATACAAAATAGTGTTTTCACTTACAAGTAACACAAACACAAAATATTTAGAAAATTGCTTCTAGAACAATGGTGACACTACCTGATAGTACAATCTACAAATGTAGCAACTTTCTCCTTCATTGTGGTTCCATCCCTTTTCACATTTATATTGCTCTTAGCAGTGTGCCTCCTGTGACAGTAACAAACTTAAGTAGGGTTGTTGGTTCCTACCACCTTAAGCGCGAAAGATGTTATGGGCACACAATTAGTCAAAATAAGAATTCAAGCAACAAGAAAAACACCTCCAGTTTTTTCACAAACAGCACATGACATTTATGTTAAAGCTCAAACAGCGTGATGAGCCATAAGACTAGTTTACATGCCAAGAGTTAAGCTTGTGCTATGAACCTATGACCAATGAATATACATGACTAAGATTAAACAATGGACCTTAAAGCATCCATCTTAATTTCTAACCACTTGGCATTAGGTGGAGACAATGTCGACATTAGGTTGGGCCACAACATTTAGCCGGCACTGGACAAGTTACTCAACATCCCCACTATATGTCGACCAAGGAATGATGCTCGACAGGGGATAGTAATGCACTGACATGGCCAATAATGTGGGGTATGAACACTCAATGCAAGACAGGTTAAGTTGGACTTGAAAATGGGCATCTCTAGCTAGCTATCAAACCAGAGCTAATATTTAACCAACAGAATATATCTGCATAACAAGGACCACGGAAAAGCAGAGACGAAAATTACATATCATATAATTATAGATAAAGCAGCAAAGAGAAATACTTGGATGTCTCTGTCAAGTCTCGTCTTGGACGATTCTCGTCAAATGTTGTCAGAGACTGCAGCTCCTTTACTTTTTCATTTATCTGGACAAATTACTCATTAGATATACGAAGGAATCAAATGAACAGGTCATTGGAATAGATATTGCAAAATCATAAACAATAAAAAAGAAGTGAAACTTCAATGACAAAAAAGAGTCATCCAAATTTGGTAATATCTGCTTTGCCATAAACTAAGCTATTTTAAAATTATTCATAAAGGATAAAATACATGAAAGCTGATGAAGCAAGTCTATGAAACTAATGCTAAACATCTTTAACTGTAAACTTTTAAGGGGTATATATTTACTCATAAGTCAATGGCATTAAAAAACGCAAACACTTAATATTTCAAGGTTTTCTTTTATACGTCTTCTGTTTGAACGTCGTTGCCTGCAGTAATTCCTTCAGTAAAATTTCTCCCATGTGGCCATATAATACAGATTGACTCTTCATATTTTTCATGATGAATTGTCATATCTCCGATGTTCCATCATCATGATGATAAATAGTAAAGAGTGGAGATAAGAAACGGCAGTGATGCCAAAAATAACTGGAAATATCAGAAAGGTCCTGTGATGCTATATCATAGGAATGGGAATAGGAGACAGCATTTTTTTTATTGCCAGCACTATGTATCCCATGATGACAAATCAAGAAAGTGCACACCTCAGGCTCGTTATTCACCAAGGCTAAAGAAAAAAGTATTGGAGAGAAAACTTGATCAGTCAACGATATATGGAGCATATGAATTATCAATGAACTCAGGTCCAAATGATTCTCATAATCTTTCCATTCAAATGTATCCTTCTCGGAATTCAAATGCTTATAGTACCACAATCATTTGTGTGCTTCATCATTCTTGTTGATATACATGAGAAAATCCATGAAAAATTGATCTCAAAGGCATTATATTTTGTGTATACAGCTCCATGGTTCTAAGAACCACAATTGGGTATACATTTCCTCCAAAAGTTTACACTAATAACACTACATAGTTGATCGAACTACCGACCAAATATCCCTAGTTAGATGTATCAATTGTTGTGGGGGTTAAGAATTTAATCAATATTCTATTTTTATATAATCAATACTCTTGCAAAAACATAATCAAATTGAAACCTCATAAATGCTAAGTTTATTGATAATATATGAGTAGAGTGCTTAAATAGTTCCAAAGATAGAGCTGCACTTTTTTCGACGTCAGAATTTGCAAGCACAACAATGTGAAGTTCACCCTTCTATAAAACTGAACAAATAAACAATAATGGTACCTCAGTGATGCCTCTCGTAAGTATTTCCCAACTCTTAAGCAACTTGCATAATTCCATAGCTGGCAAATCCCTGAATAAACTAAAAAATCAGTGCTCCAGCCTCCAAATTTATTATACATAGAATTTTATATCTGCAATTAATTAATGGTGTAAATAGATATTCTGAAGATTTATCATTGCCTGTTCATAAAAGAAAAGAAGAGAAAATCTGTTTCCAGTCAACAATAGACAACATCAGCTAGTGCTGCACATTCTTCCATTTTATAATGCATGTCATCCAATATGGAAAAAATGGCCAATCAACGGTTGCTATTTAAATAAAAGGTAATCCTGATATCCTTCCATGAATTTGGATATTTTCCAACAAACATTTTATCTATATAAAGAATGCTCAAGGAAAATGAAGTGGATGTAAGATACTTTCATAACAAACAAGCGGAATGTGTACCTCACAATCTGAATTATCTGATGGACAAAATCTCCCTTCTGCAAGCCTCCAAACAAAGAGTGATCATCCTTTTCCAATTCAAAATGACGAGAAGTCCTGGAGTTGAGCTTCTCAGGTTCAAGCATCTCACAGTACAAGTCTAACAGGGTAATTTTATGATTCTTTCCAACTTCAAAAAGACACTGCAACAGCATTTGTCTATCAAATAATGAAATTTATCTTTGCACTACAAATATATGATTTGATTTAACTAAACATTTGGACATGAGAGAATTGATGACCTCCTGGAATGATGTTTGAGTAAACCTAAATGCAATAAATAATATAAAAGGAAAAAAGAAATAGAGGTCTTAGTGTTGGACACAAAAGGATCAGGTTTTTCTTTAGAGATTTCCAGGCCAAAAATTGTCCTGCAGCCATTTAAAAATGTGGATGCTAGGATATGGTGCATTAACATAAATAATATAAAAGGAAAAAAGAAATAGAGGTCTTAGTGTTGGACACAAAAGGATCAGGTTTTTCTTTAGAGATTTCCAGGCCAAAAATTGTCCTGCAGCCATTTAAAAATGTGGATGCTAGGATATGGTGCATTAACATTTACTGAAAGCAAATACCTTAAGACTTACCATAGCCACACAGACCCATAGCTTGCGGAATCTCTTCAGCTCTGACAAACCGCAGTCCCAGATGTCACCATTTCTGTTAGACCGACTTGGCCTAGTTAAAGATTTTGCAATCCAATTAAAGAAATCAATTCACTAAAGAGTTGATGTAGTCAGTTATTGAAAGGATGCGAAAGTGAAACGCAGTTCTTCAAACCTCTGGTATGATGGAAGATCAAGACACCGCTTGATCATAGCTTCTCTGAGTAAAGTATTCTCACCACCAAAGCTCTGCAATGATTCAAAATCATTTATAGACAACATTTCCCAACATAAAAGTTCGGAATAAATCTGAACTTTTGCAAATAAACTTTAGAGCATAAAGTAGTTGTCCACAGGCATATGCACAGGCACAACAGATTACATATATGCAAAAATACACAACTATAATGTAGTTATTCACCCCAAACTATACATAGAATCTAAACTATATGTTTTCCCAATTCCTAATAAATATGCAGGCCAAGCCATCAATTTTGAAATTTGGATCAATAATAAAATGGAAGTTCCATAATCATCTAATAAAACTCAAGAATGAACGGATTACCTACGAGAACCAAACAGAAAAAGAAAGTGGGATCTCAAAGATTAAAAATGGAGGAATAAACCTGACCTTGGTGTCTTCTTCATTAATTAACCCCTCAAGTGCAAAACTTACAGGTTCTACTAAAAGGTGTTGAACCATAGCAATCTGGAAAAGACTTGTTACAACAAACAAGTAGATAGTAAAACAAATATGATAACCACATGAAAGGCTTTGACAAATCAAGGAAGGATATTGTAGTAGAAATGGCAAATGCTCATATACTGACCTTCAGAGCTCTAATGAAAGAGGTCAACGTTCCATCATGTCTTAAGAAGAAATTTCTCAAGAAAGTTGTCACTTGCTTCCCAATACTGAAGCCATGATAATGTTTTAGAAGGACAGCTTCAACAACTGCATCCATCCTTTCAGTTGGTGTTCCCAATGTGAACCCACAAGGAGACAGACACTGGAGAGCATTTGAAGGAAGTGTGTTTCTCAGAGCATCAAGGGTTGCAACTCCAACTATTAAGATTATTGGAATCTTAATAACCCATTCCCTGTAAATAGCAACCTGATAAGCCTCTTGGGGCAGAGGATCTTGAAACTCAAGAAAATTACATTTGAAATATTAAGAAAGAGACAAAACACACAAGTGAATACACCACGATTATACATGATCATCAGACTAATTAAGACAAACTCTGAATAAGGAGATAGATAGGGATGTCAGGGAAGTAAAAGAAGCAACCATGCCTCAACATAATGATTAAATCAGCCAAGACAGATCCACAGCATCTTTGCACATCATCAATTATGACAACCAGTGGGCTCTCATAATTCCCTTGTTCAGTGTACCATGATGCTAGGATGGAAATATCAGGCGCCTAGTAGAAGGAGAAAATAACAATAAGAGCAATCATTACTGATAGAAGACAATTGACATTGAAGGAAAATCTAAATTTGCCACTTGGATAAAGTCATAACGCTATAGGGGCAAGTTATGCTTACATCAATGCCAACAGTGAGAAACTGTCTCAATAAAGTTTTAAGACATCCGCCAACTCCATTTTTGGCAGAGAAGTCCAAAGATGTAAGTTGAGCTACATGACATCCACAGGACCTCAAATGTACACCAAGGTCCGCAAAAGTAAGTACATCATCAACAAACTCAACATTTTCTGCAAATCAACAGAACAAAAATATCATCTTAAGTAAATACATTTTTTTGTGAATACACCAAAAAAAAAAACAGCTGCATAAGAAAGAAAGCGTTTTGGCAATCATCTATGTGCTCGATGTTAGGAGACTTCGTATCCAAGTAGATTTAGTATCGGTTGATTGGAAAAACAAACGGCAGGGAAAAAGGTTCTTACTTGTGAGAAGTATGGCGGTGAATAGTTGTCGAGATGCAGAAGTTGCAGCTCCATTAAAAATTGGATGTGGACGAGTGGCTCTAGCCAGATTGGGCACTCCACACGCACGAATTGCATCAAAGGACTCGCGAACCCACCGGTCTATTTCTTCAAATACACGGGCATTGATTTCCCTCAAAACGTTCTGAAATTCTAATTTTCTTTTGTCAATATTCATCCAAGCAGTAAAACAGGACTGCAAATTATCAATGAAAAACAGAGGAATAATATAGAGGATTTACCCTGATAGTGCAATCGATTTTGCACCAACGAAGGTTAAAACTTTCAAATCGGAAGTTGTCATCGAGTACTTGTACATTATCTTTTTCTTTGGCATCAGCTTTTTTGGGCGACAAGTCGATTCGTCTTCGGGTTTTTCCTGTGGGTTTTCGGGGCGGAGCTGCTTTGTGAAGAACAAAGAAAGGCTACGGCGTATTCACGAGTTATTAAAATACGGTTTAATCCCAAAAAAGTCTCGTGAATGTATCATTAGTTAATATTGTGTGATAACAGATATACCTGGAGGTCATTTTCTGCGGCGGGGGTAGGCGGCGAAGCCACTGAATCGGCTGTCGGAGCCATTTCAATTTTCTTCCAGTGTAATCTTTAATTACCGGAACTACGCGAATCAAATGAAAGATCTGTAAGATGTAACTATGGGAAGGCGGCGTCCCCTCTTTTTGGCGGGAAACACCACAGTTGCAGGTTTACACGTGTAAATAAACGAAATTGATTTGGGTTAATTACAGTGTAACCCCCCATAGCTTGCGAAAATGTTAAATTTCTCCAAATTCTTTTGAATTTGTCTAAGATTCCCCACAAATTGATTTTTGTATTTTCGGATCATGCACTGACCAATTATTTAAAGTACAAGAGAGTGATATCTGACAAAAGAAACGACGCATTCTCGATTGCAATGATCTCTATATGATAACTCTCTCTCTCTCTCTAACATGTCACGTCTCTTATTTTCCTAGTAGGAAAGTTCGGCTTACTAATTGTCTTCGTCCAAGCTTGAAGTCTAATACTAAGATCTAAGAAGCATGTGTGAGACTTTATAACTCATCCAATCTATAGTATTTAAACTTGCCAATGAAGTTCTTGACTTTTGAGTGATTATAGTTGTCGGTCATTTGAAAGGTAATTATGAATATACTTTCTTTTATACCTTGTATGTACCAAGTGAGACAAGTCATAACACACTTCACGGCATTACATTGTATAATAGTGTAATTCTCGAAATCAAACATATTTTACCTTGCACGATGAGTGAAAAAATATGTTGTCAGCATAATCTCCTTCCAGAATACAGTGTAAACGAGAACAAATGTGCCAATGATTTCCATCGCCAATCCCAGTGCAGTTGTAGTAACCATCTGCCCGTTCATTGGCACCACCATCGACTTTTACGTGCTAAACTTCTTATGGTCTTTCATCAAAAAGAGTTTTTTGGGGGAAAATGAATTTTGAAACAGTGATTTTTCAGAAAATGTATAGTTCAAAAATAGAAAAGGTTTTAAACTTACGTGCAAAATATTTTATTATATGAATGTGGTTAAAAATAAGTTTGAGAAAAAAATAATCTATATTGAATGAAAGACAAACACGGGTAAGACTTCTGGACTGTCTTCACCAATCCGCGGCTGCAAATGGCCCCTAAACACTGTGCACTATGTACATGATAGCCCGAATGTGTCATACCTTACGGCCAAGAATATGCCTATTGTCACTATCCGGATGGCGTGTGCCGGAAATGAGTGGTATACAAGTATCTCGTCTAGGTTTGAACAACCTTAAACGAATAATTTTTTTAAAATTATTATATGATCAACTCCTTCAAATTTGAGTTGGGAAATGGCAAACTAATCCTCCCTATTATGGGTAGCAACTCTTTTGTGGGCATTTTTTCCAAACAGTCAAGTCCTGATACAGTTTAGAAAATTAAGAAAAAGTTTACCAAATTTAGTGAACATGAAATTTTATTTTTACATCAAATACATTAAAGTTGTCCTAAGAATTTAATATACACAAAAGTCCAACCTTGAAACAGGTCGAGATAAATCATAGAAAATGTAGCAAGCCGAACTTTGCCTTGCCCATCACAAAAAACTCAGGTAGCATTTGACCTGACTTGATTGGCACCACTTAACAAAAATTATGATTAGATATACATTGAAATTTCAAAAAGAACAGAACCTATGCATTCTTTCAAAGGAAACTAGTTATTTACAAAACATTTGGCAATGGTGACACCACCGTCGGCTCCCTCTCTTCATCGATTGTCTCCAATTTGGGTATCGTCGAAGGCTTATGGGGAAATATAAAAGGCGCCGGAGCTACTTCTATCCAAGAGGAATTCAATTTTCTAATCTTCTTCGCCATTGAATTCGAGTAAAAGCAAGTATTCTTAAACCGCCGAAGTCGTGACCACAATTTGCTCCCTTTCCTCCTGATTATGGGAAGAAAGAGAGATTGGACAACAAGTTTAATATATAATCAACGAAGGATTGTTCCTAGTAGTTTGATGAATTGGGACAAATGTGAATTACATGGCAATAAATAGGGAATTCAGCTATGTGGAAATTGGGATTTCTTGCGAAAACTCGTGGATGTCAAGAAAATAAAATGAACGGTAAAACTTTTGGGTGTCCTCCACCTTCATTGGGCTACCACTTAAAAAATGGCAGGTCTAAATCTTCCTATTCCACCACACCCCTGTCATTTCTCTCTTTGAAAACTAACTTCACCAATTAGAGATGGCAATGGGACGGGTTCGGTTCGGGACGGGGTGCCCGCCACTTCCCCACAGAGCCCCGCCCAGTGCCCCGCCCCACCTTAGACGGGTTCGGGGTGCGAGCTTGCCCCGTTTCCTATCCCGTTTATTTTTTTTTTTCAAAAACTTCCAATTAACAATTTTATATTTTTAATTTGTAATTAATTATTTTTTTATTCTTCACGGGGCAGGTTCGGGGTGCTTCGGGGATAGGCACCTCCTCCTCCCCTGCCCCACCAACCCATCGGGGCGGGTTTTTTTGCAATCACTAAAATTAACTAATACCATAGTTTTTGTTTCCATTTTGGGAATTNTTTTTTTGCCATCACTGTCACCAATCCAACTTACATGTTCTTCGCTAAAATTGACAATGTTGTATCTACCAATTTTTATTCAACTATTAAATGGAATATCTAGTTACAAATTCATTTTGGCTCTATTTTCTTTATTCTAGAATGCTCCAACAAGTTCCTCCTATAAAATTATCTAAGAATTTACATTCTCTAAGATTTCTGAAGTCTTCCGCAAATCTTTTCAATACTCTGTCAAATATGTAGTTTGGCCAATCACATTACTAGCTAGGTTTAGCCTTTGATTGTGTTCCTTGTGTCTGTATTCAGCACACATTCTCACACTGGTCCACATGTACAAAATCTTGCAAACTATCATATTTTGTAACGAGATACATCCTAAAAGTGCATATGTTTGGGCCGGATTAAAATTTGATTTTAATCTAAGTCAAAATCAAACAATCAATATTAACCACATCTTTCATGAGTCACACATCTTTTCAACCACACATTTCAAAAACTTCTATCACAGTCCATTAAAAATCTAATTTTAATCCCTACCAAACATCTTCATAGTAATTTCTGGAATGAACGCAACCCTCCAAGGGGTTGATTGCAAGCGAAAATATCAACAGCACAAACAAGAAACGAACAATACAAGAAATCGCTTCACTAAACAACCACATCAAATCATCTCGAGTCCATGCAACACTCAATTCTGAAGGAACAGGCTAAGTTAACCATCGACTTGAAGGCACAGGGAAAGTTCACTCAATAAACTGCACTTAAAATCGAATCCCGCAGAGAAAGAACAGCTTTGGCACTTAAAAAGAATATTTAGAAAGAAATTTATCAAAAAGGGAAGCTAGATTACTTCAACAGGCTGAGTGCAATACATTGCTTTCAGAAATTGCTTAACAGCAAGGGATTGTAGAACACTGATAACTATTTTCCCAGACGGAATCATAATTAACTAAGTTAATTGATCCTAAGGAAGGTATATGAACAATTGAACATGCAGCATAACCAACAAAGAAAAAGAAAATTCATTGCAGGAAAGACTAAAGCCAGAAACAAATATCGTGCACAACCAAACTGTATCCTTGCCTCTTCAAGAATTGACCCGGGTAACTGTTCGATCAACAGTCCAAACAGGTGATATTAAATACCCTCTAAATCCATTGAATTGAAAATTTCTGTTCTAGCTATTCATTATCTTAACACTCAGCTTCAGATTTATAGATTGTTTGGCATGAGTCAAAAACTACTTCACTAAAAAGCCTTTTTTTAACATGATTGGATAATTTTGTAAAAGTGCTTTGCTGGCTAGTGCAAAAGTAAAACAGAGGTCCTGCCAAACAGGCCCTAAATGTACTCATAATCAATCAAAATGCGACTACCTGAATTGTCCTATGTTGCAAATGATCTTCCATCTCTTTAAGAAAGAATCTGCATTTGGTGTCTATTTATTACCACCGTGCAGACGATCAATTGTAAAAACATCCATTTAAGAACACTCAAACTACCTGATAACACAAAAAACAATAACTCCACAGAACTTAACAATCAAAATTAATAATTATCCAAAATTATAAAATGTCTCATTTCCTCGCAGAAAAAGTTGAAATAATTATTCATATCAGTACCAGGCATTTTCAAGAAGTGTGAATCCATCCATTTGAGAACAATCAAGCTAACTAATAACACAAAAAAAATAATTCCACAAAACTTAACAATCAATATGCATAATTATCCAAAATTAAACCCAGTCTCATTTTCCTCCCGGTAAAAGTTGAAATAATAATTCATATCAGAATCATGCATTCTCAATAACAAAACAAAAATAAAAACGAAGCCTAGGAGAATCAGATTAAGGTTCAAACTCTTTTTTCAATCCTGTGGAATCTCAACATCACCATCGGTAATCTCCTGCTGCAGATCCTTGGGGTCTTTCCCGTCCACCGTACACCCAACAGAGACACACGTACCGAGGATCTCCTTGACCGTGCCGGATAAGTCCTTGGCCATGGATCGTGGGGCCATTACCTTGGCGATCTCAATGACGTCATCTAGGGAGATGTTGCCATTGTGCTTAATGTTTTTGGTCTTCTTACGATCGCGCTCGGGTTCCTTGAGGGCCTTGATGACAAGGGCGGCAGCAGAGGGCACCACGGTCACCTTGGCTTGACGGTTCTGGACGGTAAGCTTGACGGTCACACGGAGGCCCTTCCAGTCCTTGGCAGTTTCTTTAGCGATATCTTCACCGATTTTTTTTGGTGAAAGACCGAGGGGACCGATCTTCGGAGCCAGAGAACTAGCGGCACCAACTTCGCCGCCGGTTACCCGGACGAAAACGTCAACTACCTGAGACGGGTCGAACTTTGGCGGCATTTTTGCGGATCCGAGTTAGAGAGGAACGGTTTGGAGAGACCGGGGCGGCAGTGACGTTGGCGAGTATTTATGTTAAATTGCAATTGATTTGTTTTGGGGTTTGGATATCGATGCTTACAGGCTAGGGT